ATCTATTCTATAAAATAATAGTATTGCTGGCCCTTGAACAACAGGGGTTTGAATTGCAAAGGTCCACTTACATGTGGATTTCTTCCAATAAATATAGTCAGTCTTCCATATCTCAGGGTTTCACACCTGTGGATTCAACCAGCCGCACAGTATTTCTGATGCAAGGCTGGAAGCCCACGGATGCAGAGGGCTGACTGTACGCAATGTTCCATGCCATTTTACATAAGGGACGTGAGCATCTGCAGATTCTGGTATCCAAAAGAAATCCTGGTACCAGTGAACTGCAGATACCAAGGGATGACTGTAGTTAAGTTTGGGGGGAGTCAAAAGTTATATACAGATTTTCAACTGCATGGGAGGTCAGTGCTCCTGAGCCCTGTGTTGTTCAAGAGTCAACTGAACTTATATCCTAGGCTTAGGTGGGTGAAACAAGATAATGCATAAAAGGCATTTAATAGTGTCACACACATAGGAGTTACTCAATAAATACTAGTTCTATGTTATGACCCTACTCAAATCTTCTGTACAGTGGAAAAGACCCAGTCAGTAACTGGGAAGGAGGAACACTCCCTGCCAGTGAAGACTTGGTTTTTCACTAAGAAGAGTACAAAGGGAAGTGTGACTTATTTAAGCTACTTACAGGCTCTAAATTTCCAAGCTTTAAAAAAATGCTTTAACTAAGCACATCCTGCAAAATGCAGATCTAGAAAATAGATCAGCCTAGATAGAGATGATAGTGGAACAGATTGCAGCAGGAACAAAGCTGAAAACTGAATTTCAGTGGGATGGAAATGGAGGTGAGAAAAGCTAGTGAGATAAATGAAGAGTGAGGGAGAAGGCTCAAAGGAAGAAGTCTTTTTAATCATAACTCACTCATGAGAAAGTTTATACTCTAGCATCTGATATGAATACCAATTTTCATTATGGCTGTATACCCAATTTTTTCATTTCTCAACAAATTCAGTATTTTCAGCAAAGTTGAAAACTATCATTTGTACATTCATTACATACTGAGGACCTGCTATGCTCTCGACACTTTCAGGTACCAGGTATTCTGCCGCAAATACAAAATGAGCATGGTTCCTGAACTTATCTTATGAGAGAAAACATAACAATCAAATAGGCATGAAGAAAAAGATCAGATGGTCAGGAAAAGCCCTGCTGAAGTGGCATGGCTACCTCTCATCCTTCTGGTCTCAGGTGTTCAAGGAAAGTGTGGGCAGAAGAGCAGAGGGGCCAGTTGTTTTTCTTTTTGAAACCTTGAACAAGAAAAAGAATGCTACACTCAAGGTAATAAAAGAATATAGACAGAAAATAGTGAGCAGAGAGAGCAGCTAGAAATGTGAATGGAGGGGTAAATGAGAATAAGGTGAGAGGGTCATGTTAAACGGGTTGGACTTTATTAAGAACCAACCTAAGAGTTTTAAGAAAACTGATGCAGGCTTGTTTAAAGACCACTCCAATTCTGTCTTAACTGGGTGAGTATAAAAGTAAAAAGGTGGAAACAATTAGGAAGCCATTAAAATAGTACAGAAGATGCCTCAGTGGAAGGAGACAAGAAAAAGGCCCTACTATGGTCTGTTCCTAGCTACTATATAATACCACTACTTACTTTATACTTACTGTACTTAATTTACATAATGGTTGTTCTGGAAAAACGGTTCTACAATAGTCACTTCAAAGCTATTAAGTTAGTACTAAATCTCAAAATAGAGTCATTTTGTGCTGCCAATTAATATCCAGCAAAGTTTCTAATAAAATTGTAAAGCTGAAAATGTAAAAACGATGGAAGGAAAAAATCTTGGTCTTTTCCCAAATTTAAATCATAATTTTTATATTGTATCTATCTTATCTTGCCTTATGCCTTATTTTGTAAATAGGCAAACAAAACTGAACAATTCACAAACTACGCTTCTTTTTATACTTATGTTACATAAATAATGGTAGGTAAAAATTAAAAACCAAGAAAAAGCAATCTCCCAATTGAGTGTAGCAAATTATAATGAGCTACAAAACACCTTTCCCCCAACATGTGAATGTACTGCACTGCCAGTTTATTTATACCAGGGTCCCCGGTATCTTCTCTAGACATTCATTAAACAAATAGTATTACTGAGTACCAACTATGCACCAGTTACTTTTTTATAAGGTTCCTTTCTCCAGTAAGCAAAGAATAAAATGGTGGTTGCAACAGTCTCCTTAATTGTGGGAATCTGGCCTAGAAGGAAGAAACTCAAAGCTTCCTAGATCCATTGAAGTATTTTCTCCTGCCCTGCCATAGCAGCAAGGAAGAACTGGGGGAAGAAGGGAAATAATCTGCACCTAGTAGAAATGGCTAGTGTGACAAGGAAAGACTCCACAAGTTCCTACAGAATGTTTACAAAATGGGAGTAATGAAACTGAACCTTTCAATATACAAATGATCCCTGCAAAGACTTACGCCATCTTCAGAGTTAACAATCTAATAACAATGTCCAGTACAAAGTACAATACACTTGCTGCTGTCCTAAGTTTTATCCTCCATCATCAACTTCTGGGGATGTCCACTGCTCAATTTCCTCTTATTCTGATAAGCAGAGCAATTGAAATGAATCTCCAGTGAAATAAACCAGTGTCCACTTCCCACCCTCACAGAGAAATGATGTCCATTCACACTTGGACAGAAATGATTGACGCGGTAACAATACTAGTGATGACTGGAAAGTATCTCTTGCCATGTTTTACTGAATATATAGCTTTTTGGCAATGAATCAGCCAAAGAATAGGAAAAGGCTATGATTAGTCAAATAAGATAATAAAAGTTGGGGGTAAAAAAAGTCTTAATAAACAGGAAATTAAATCTTCAATTAATGTTCAATTATCTTCCTATCATTTATTAAGTTTCACTTAGTAAGTACATCAAGGCAATTGGTAATAAAATCTGTGTCTTATCGTAAGGCACAATTTCTAGGCAGATATCAATCCGATGAGCTAACCTTTACTGTCTAATTATGCTGACTGCATTCTAAGGAACAATGGCCTCTCTGATAATTTCTGGTTTTAGCAGAAGTTCATATAAGGACAGTGGAAAATTATGAATGCTTATGGGCTCATTCCAGTGCTCAGTCTGAATCCTCTATAGCAGTGGTTCTTTCAGAATAAGCCTTCTAGACACTGCTGAAAACCAGATTCTCTCCTGAGAAAAATGCACACAAAATATAGCAAATAATTTTAGTAGGTTAAAATAAAACGACTTGGTGCTTATCCAGGGACTCAGGTCAGGAATCCCTGTTATCACTAGCAGAGCCTCCTTCTGAGCAAAGTTAAGAATAGAGTTGTAATAGAAAGGTTTTATGAGCAAGTCAGAAAAGAGTAGCAGGTGGGAAATTCAAGGTAAAGACACTGACAGCAAAAGTGAGAGATGAGATTCACAACCATACTCTGAAGCCTTACTAGAGCAGCACAGAGTATTTATTCATTCATTTGACAAATATTGATTGGGCATTATGACATAGGTAGGTCTTAAGAGATGTGATAGTCACCAAACTCAGATGTAGCTAATAAAGTTCCTGCTCTCAAGTGGCTTATAGGGTCTAGGGGAATGACAATCATCTTGATAAAGAATTATAAACAGATATGTTACCAGAATGCAGGAAATATATATATTTTATGAGAGCCTACAATAAAAGAACCTTGCTTAAAGGTTCACAAAGGTTTCCCTAAAGTAAGGCTGAGGTGAAAGGTAATCAGTAAATAGGTTTAAGTTATCTATGCAATAATTGGGGTGGGAGATAAAATTAATACAAATCTTCCAAACCCAGGAAATCATAAGCAAAGATCCTGAGGTTGAGGTAGTGTGCAGATTAATAAGTTGCACTATGAAATGAAGATGATGATGTTTTTCTTATTAACAGCTTTCTTCTTTGCCTGTTACTTATCTTTTGATAAAAATAATAGTATACTCATTTTAGGGTGGCTGAGACAATTAAATCGGAGAATATAAGCAAAGCACTCAGTAAAATGCCTTGGCACACAGTAATTGCTCACTAAATGTTAGTGATGACAAAAATTGTAGTTAAGTCCAGCCACCATGGCTCAGTGGTTGAGCACTGATCTATGACCCAGGAGATCGTGGTTCAATTCCCGGTCACGGCACATGCCGGGTTTGCGGGCTTGATCCTCAGTCCGGGGCGTGCAGGAGGCAGCTGATCAATGACTAATCATTGATGTTTCTCTCTCTCCCTCTCCCTTCCTCTCTCTGAAATCAATAAAGACATTAAAAAAAAAAATGTAGTAAGGGAACCTGAGTTCTAGCAAAAACCCTGGGCATACTCAACCCAACAATAAATGTTAGCAGTTCCTATAAGCCACCAATTACAAACTTCTAAGGCAAAACATAAGCAACTTAAATATTTTAATAATTGCTTGCTATTCATTCTTACTTATATAAATGTGCTAAAAAGAGCTGTAGGTATAGCATAAATACATGTTATCTTTTCCTAAGAACTACAATATACTTTATCATTGACATTATTTTTTAAACAAATCAAACCATTTATTGATGAATTTTGAGAAATACAATACAATTACTATGTTTTTGAACAGAATGCCACTCCAAATTAACGAGTCCAGTTCAATTGAACATCTATTATTTAAATAAGACAAACAGAGCCACTGAAAAACTGTTCTTTACAAATTTGTTTTCTAAGAGAGTTTTAAATTTAGTCTTAACAAGCTGAGGTATAATTCAAAACAGAAAATCTTTACATTTCATTTTGCCTCTGGCAAAGCATTAAATGACTCCCCAGTAATGGAGAATCTATCCTTTATTTAAAGTCCATTAATATTCAAAGAAATATACCCTTTTTAGATATATGCTCTCTCAGATATACTACCTTTGAGTATTAAGCATATTTTTCCTAAACCTAAGTATCTACAATATAACTCCTGGCCTGAGATTACTCAACAGGTATGGAGACAAAGAAATACTTAACTCTTGTACTACAAAAATGCAACATTACCTGGAAAACTAGTTTTCATTATATCAATTCCAACTTGTAGCTCAGGTTCAGCAGCAAGTACAGCATAGTCCCCTTGATGAGATATGTTAAAGTTGAAATTGGGGTAAGGATTCGATGAGTCTTTTGCAAGAACTGGTTTTCCTTTTGCAGTTCTTTGCAAACGAATATTATTCCAGGGGATATTCAATTTCTCTGCAATTAATTTCCTTATCATCAGACGACCAGCCTGTTAATAAAACATAAACATTTGGTATGTATAGAGACCATGCTTGTAACAAACAAAGTATATTTTTTGTGATTCCTAAAATATTTAAGTTTTTAAAAAGTACATTGCATTAATATTTAAGCAATGCTTAAGAAGATAGAAGAAAATTAGTCTCTCAATAATTCTCTCCTCAAAAGATAACCAATGTTAACAAGTAGGCATCCTTCCAGTCTTTTCTCTAAGTACCGAAATATAAATTCATGTGGATAGGACTTTGCTGTTTATCTACATATATACGATCCTATTATATGTAGTATTCTACCATGTATAGCCTTTTTAATCCCTGTGTTGGGGATTATTTCATATCTGTACATAACCATCTGGTCTTTGTACTTGTAACTGTAGCATAGTATTTCACAGCATCAAGAAAGTATAAATAGATTGATTGCTCCATTATTGGACATTTTAGGCTGACTCTAGTTTTGCAATTACAAAAAAGTCCCCGTGAGCAACCCTGTTGTATGTACATTTTTGTGCATATATGCAAGCATTTCTAGATACTATATACCAGCGATTTTCAACTAGTGTGCTGCAAGAAGTTTTAAAACATGCAATACCTGGCTATTTATTCAGGGGCACTAATCTCTTTTCCCTTAGAATGTCAAATAAAAAAATGACAGCCAACACAACAATAGCCGTCAGTGTAAATGAATCAAAATTACACCTAATTTTCTTGTCAAATCGGCAAAAAATATATACATTTTTTGTACCACAATGAAAAAGGTTGAAAATCGCTGCTATACACCCATCACTCAGTTTCAACAATCAGCTACACATGGCCTATCTTTTGTCACATATACTCCAACCCACTCTCTCCCACCTCTACCTAACACTTAAGAAATTACTACAATCACACAAAAATACCCACGGGAACAAGATAAACAAAGTATATACTATTCTGTAAAATATCTTTCAAGTTTTTTTCCTTCAATTCTAACACTGATTTTTAGAAACTCCAACACTTTGAATTTCACAATTTCTTACAACTGATAGAAAAGTATAAAAAATAATCCCAAATTTCAAATGAAAAGGTGGTTCAAGGTTCAATGTAGGGACAATTTCAAGGCATGACTGCTTTCGAAGCGATGGCAATTACAGGCTGTTTCAAACTGCACTATACGGAAGTAATTTTGAAATCCAATTTTCCGTGTGTTGCTTAAAAATACATAACTAAAATAAAAAATTCTACTTAAAAATCCTGTTTCCCAAGCTATTGTAGTCGGGAAGGTGTGCCCGGGGCTGCACCGTCCGTGGGCCTCAGTTCCACTGGTAAACGGAGGCTGGCCTAGGCCTCTTCAGTTCCGTGGTGTGCAAGGATAAACGGAGTCATACCGTCAACATTTTGGGGGGCCTCTCACGTACAGGGTACCTTTGGAGAGTGGTGGGATATTTAACAGGCAGACTAAGCATGTGCTATAGGCTCACGCCAAAAAAAAAAAAAGACAACATAAATAAAAACATAAAAGCCTTCATTACGGGAAACACAAAACACCGGTTACCCCGTAAGTCCCCCCTACACCTATTTTACGGTCTCGTGGGGCCTCCAGTTCAATTACAACGCGGGAGGGGCTCCTTTCTCCGCGAGCTAGGCCGCGGGTGAGACCACAAAGGCCGTGGAGACCAGGCCGTGGGCTCAGAGACTCGGCCGCGCNCCGCGCCCACCACTCTCGCCCCGGACCCGCCCCGCGTGGGCTAAAACGCGGGCGTCGACGCCAGGACCGGCGGGGGGCCCCACACCCCGGCCCACCTCCCCCAACATTTGCTTCCTCGGGTCAGAATACCCAAGACCTGTAGTACCATGGCTGCCTTAGCGTCCCGGGCGAAGACGAACTGGCCAATGCGCTCCTTCTCCTCAGGCTGGATCGATCGCACCGCCAGCAGCCACTCGGCTCGGCTCGGCAGCCAAGTGCCGCAGGAAAAGGCCCAGCGTACGCCCTCCATGGCTCGCACCAAGCAGAAGCGCCTGGCGAGCAGAACCATGCACCGAAGACGAGCCCCGCCGCCACCCCGGGCCCGATGGCGCGGACGCTAACGTGGCCCCACCCCCTTCTTCCCGGCGTCTGCGCGGAGGGGGCGGAGCGTC